TTTTTAATGTATTAATTACAAAAAATATCTTATTAATGCATGATAAAAATATTTTAATGCAATAAAATAAATAAAACACTTTGATGAGTTGAAAAAAATATTTGATTTTATAATAATAATAGTAAATAATATTAAAATTATAAATATATATTGAAATATAAAATATAAATAAAAAAATAATTAAATTAAAAAACGCAGAGGGTGTGAATTATATTAAGCTAGTAAAATAGGGAGGTGTGTGTAACAGGGCCTTGAATTTAGATATTGAATTCAGGCCCAACGCATGGGAGGTGCGGGTTTGAACTATTTAGCAAAAATTGGGGGTGTACGGAGTAGGGGTCCAAGTCCAGATATTAGACTTGGCCTATTTAGCTGAGGGGGTGCTGGTTTGAGCGTGTTAGCAAAATGAATACGGAGGAGGTGGCTTTAGTAATAGGCCTGGCCCAAAGCGTTTGGGATCCGTTTGGACAACATACGGACGTGAGTACTGTAAGGCCATAGGCGCATGTTTTTTGGAACGGTTGATTGAGATCAATTGGTTATGATTGAAGGCGTGTGGTAATGGCGGTGGACTGGCGCACACTGGATCCTAAGGCATAATATTTTTTTTTTGTTAAACACTTCGTTTCATTTCGTTTATCCCTCTCTCTCAGATCTAACCCTTGTTCTCTCTTCTCCCCCTTCTCACCCTTCAACAACACCACAAACCTAATCACCATCATCCTCACGGCCCCAATTGGTGGCAATCGTCTCTACCTCCTAGATTTAACCTTATACCCACAACCTGAATTACAGAATAGAAATAAACAAAGCTAAGTTGCTTACCTCCTTCCGTGTTTGTTCTTTGAGCTTTGCATTTGTTTCCAATCTGAGCTTCTTCTGATCCCGTCATCTTTTATTTTGTTTCAGGTTCACGGAGTAATGACGGCGATGAAGATGATGGTGATAGTGTCAGCGCAACAAGGCAAGTTAGGGTTTCAAATGTTGAAACCCTGGGCTTGCGATGAGCGACAGATACGAGAGTTGACGGCGGCGGCGCTCAAGGCTTTCTTCTCAGTTCTTCAGGCTCTCTCCCTCTGTCAATTCCTTTTTCGTCCTCCCAATTTTTCTTCTTCAAATCTCTTCTTCTGTAAAAAAAATTCTTTGTAAAATTTTTCTCCATAAAATTTTCTCCTCCTTTTCTGCTTAAGAAATTAAGTTTTTATAGTGTTTTAGGTTTAGGTATATTAGGAAATATATTTGTAATTGTCGTTTCTCTCTTGATTGATTAGAGAATTAGGGAAATTAAGTTAGGTTAGGGGTTTATTTTTTATTATGTTGTAATTTGTATAAAGTTTTGATTGTGTTACAACTTAGTTTAATTCTGTATTGACTATGATTGTATAAAGATTTGATTCAGTATCTATTGTAAAACATGCGTTATTTTCAATTGATCTGAATAGTGAATGTTTTCACATTAAAACATGCATTATTTTTTCAAATAATTCAAACAGTAAACATTTTTTGTTTTGGACTGTAAGTGCTTTTTTGATTTGGGCTTGAATTGGGCCTGTAATGGATCATGTGATGGCATATTTAACCAAACTTTTTTTTCTCAATTTAATAAAATAGTTTATTTAATTTTATAATATAATAATTCTAATAATATTATGTTACATTTAATGATGATAATGTTAGCAGAAACAAAAATGCAATTTTTAACAAACAAAAACTGAAATGGGCCAAATGGTTTTAATTTATTGGGCCACCTAAAAAGTGAATTGCCTATACCCCTTTCAACCTTATTCAAAATCTTAATGGGCCTTTCTGATCTTAGGAAAGGCCCAAGGATTCTCCATAAAGCAAACCCCCTCCCTACATTTGAAATGGGCTTAACAAATACCTTTCTTACAAAAGAAATTGAATGGGAACTTACTTCTATATGGGTCTTTCTGATTTAGAAAGGCCCAAAAACTCTTAATAATATAAACCTTTCAAGATATAAATTAGGCTAAAAACAGAACAAAAACCTAGCTTAAACGCAATGGGCTTTTTAAAAACAAAATATGAGCTAAAGAGTCCATACACCTCCTCTCTAAAAAAACCTAATGGACCATCAACTTTTCATGGGCTTTTCTGATTTAGAAAAGCCCATTAATTATCTAAAAGGATAAAACCCCCTTTTATAAACTTAAACCTCAAGCAAATGATAACTCTGAAATTTAATAAGGGATAAAAAAATTAGAAATGAGTAGGGAAAATTTTGGGGTATGTCAACCGCTAATGGAAACTCAGCTTTCAAACTCTACATTTTTAACTTTAAAGTAAGAGAAAAACAAACTAATAGTCGGAGTCACATCCAACACTGCACATACCATCTCGAAGGCTTTGATAAAGCCCCAACTGTTAGGGGGAAGTTGAGAGGGGGCCACGTTCACCGTCTTTAACACGTCTACCTCAAAGTCAGTAAAGGGGATACAAATAAGCATATCCTCTAACACCCCTGCATAAAAGTGAAACCATTCGTCTTGTACTCCCTTTCGCCATGACATACAAACCCATTCACCGGGAATGCAAGCCTTAAGAATAATTACTTCCTCGTTTTCGATGGAGGACACCTTTCACAAAGAGCGAAGCTTCACTATCTTTACCTTATCCATGGATCTTTGGTCGTAACCCATCACCTCCTCACTAAAAGAGTCAGAAGTTTTCATCAGGATTTCCACAGAATCTGATGAGGAAGATTCAGAGTCAAAATCGCTAAAAGGAGCATATTTATCCCCATAAAATTCCAGCATAATACGACCAAACTCCTCTCTACCTAAGCCTTTTTCACAATCCCTCATGCATGCACGTCATACTGCGTATCTCTCTTCAGCATTTTGGGGTTTTAGAACGACACCCTCTTCATCACACTCGCGTAAAACTACCATCTCTCAAAACAAAAGAAAATGTGCAGGAAAAATAAGGTAAAGGAAAGAGATAGATACTTGGAAGCAGTTGTCATTTGAAGAAATTGAAGAGATGAATTAAGGGAACTTGCAAAGGAAAATAGGAGAGTCTTTGGGAACATAAGAGGAAAGGTTTTTATAAAAGGAGAAGTTATGGTAAGTAACGGTTAAAGAAGAGGAAATGTGTGTAGGTTTCAAAAAATCGCCTTAGTAATGATTATACATAAGAAAACTAGTTGACTATTGTGAAACTAGGGCGTGAGCGACACGCACACTGAGATATGGGATCGACCATCATCTAGTTATAGAAGTCTGGCCCGGAGCAAAAGATTAATATTTACGTCGACCAAACATAAGGCTTCAGATAAAAGCCATATGCTCGCGGGGCTTATGTTCATACATAGATCCATTGTCCGGGCTAGGAGAAGATAAAAAGGAAAGACATGAATAAAAGGCTAAAGAGGACAAATAAATGCTTAGTCGGATAATATCTCGGCTTAAGATCATCATGTATGAGTCGGGTTATATAGCCGGAGGCATATGTGGTCGGCCATCGAGAAAGATGAAAAGGCGCCAACCAGTCTTATCCCTGGGTCTATAGGTTACATAGAGCTCAGCCTTAATGAGACCGTTATAGAGTGATCGGCCCGTTAAGGGTGTAACCGCTCATTAATACATGGCGGCGCGTGTTATGATAACATTCATCATTGACAACAGCGGACGTTTCTTTCTTTAATGACAACTCAGTTACGTATGATGGTGAGTCACAACAGTTACATGCAGTGATCAATGAGGTTCAGATACCTCTATATATAGGGCTTCTAACTGAAGGGTAAGCAAGAGACGTCGCTTGAAGCACACACATACTTGTGTGACGCTCCAAATCCCTTAATATCATAAACAATTCACTTCCACTTGCTTGAGGCTCTCCCCGATACCCTTCAACTAGCGGGAAAATCACCCATTTAGTGTTTAGCAAGAACAAAATATATATATATATATATATATATATATATATATATATATATATATATATATATATATATATATATATATATATATATATATATATATATATATATATATATATATATATATATATATATATATATATATATATATATATATATATATATATATATATATATATATATATATATATATATATATATATATATATATATATATATATATATATATATATTCAAGTGTTCCATAAATTTGGGAAAAACATCTCAGTGACACAAATTATGGACACTTATTCTCAATTATACCAATCATGTGCACTTGTGTTTGGAGAGGTCCCTTCTAGTCTTTTTGGTTCCACAACACCTCACAACCCATCAATGTCATCAAGAGCACACTCCACCACGCAACCTAACCAAAGAATCTTTTCTTATCTTTTCTTTTCGTTTGAATTGAAAAAAATCCACCCTCCTTCTATTATAAAATTACCATACCATTAACAATTACAGAAAAGATTATCTTTACTTAGCTTGGCCGCTACTCTTGTTCTTTTTCCCATGCAAAGCTTGACTATAACTCAACCGTATATACATATTCCCTAATAATTCTAATAAAAACTCACCTTTATTCAAAGCTAAAGCAATCATGTAATTATTTACTACTTAAATATCCAATCTCCAATAAAAAAACTTAGAAGAAACACCAATCTACAAGAAGATTCCTAATTTCCTAATTCCTAGCGTAGAGGCTATCATGCTAGGTGGAACCCACTTAATTGATTCCCTAATTTGTCATCTTTAAGATGGATTAACACTCACTCAACCATTGTATAAACGACACAACAACTCACTCTCCACGTTACAATAACAACAAAAACACTTAATGGTGGCTTAGATCTTGTTCTTGTAATATTATTAGTTCTCTTAAAATTCAACACAAAAAAGCCACCAAATTTGATTCACAAATTAACACTTAGTATTCAAAAACCTTTTTTTCTTCCTTTTGTTGCTATTATTTGCTATTAGTACCTTCCTATATAAACCTTTCTTTTCTTTCTATCACTCTTACCGATCAAGATTCAGATCCTAAAGAATCATTGTGAAGATGGATATTAATGGGTGGGTGATCATTTCTGATGATTGCTTTCTTGATGATGAGAAACAGATTTTCTTAGGAAAAAGAAACTCACTCTCAGACTCAATTAGTAACTTTGACAAAGATTACTTTGGCACCTCCCCAAAATCAACAAAAACCATTGAAATCGAACCACCAAAGATACCGAAACTACTTATCCATGTTCCAATTCAACTTGAACCCAAAATTGAGAAAGTTCCAAGTGAAGAGGAAATAGTGAAAGAACAAACCGATGAAGACAGTGTTTCACAAGTTTTCTTTCATATGAAGGAAAACAAATTTGCTGACATGAAATTGGAGTCACCAAAGTCTAGTAGTGGTAGAGGATTGTTTTCTCAACAACTTGATGCAGTTGAGGACATGGAGATGATGACATCTCCTAGAATGAAGAACATGGAGAAAGACAACAACGTTGTTATGTACTATGATGAGAAAGAAGGAGAGAACATGAATGGTGGTTTTAATTTATGGAAGTGGAGTTTGACAGGAGTTGGAGCTATATGTTCTTTTGGTGTTGCTGCTGCCACAGTTTGTGTCTTGTTGTTTGGAACCCAACAAAGAATCAAGAAAGACCAAACTATTAGGTTCCAGATCTACACCGATGACAAGGTCAGTAAATGTTTCTTTTAATGTTATATGTTTTTTCTGATATGATTTATAAAAAAAATTTATTTTTAAATATGTTGAATAATTAATGTATCTGAATAATATATCAACTAGATACATTGTACACTGATTTTGTTGATAACTAATCTCTTGTAAAAATATGGATTGTGATTGTAGAGGATTAAGCAAGTGGTGCAACATGCAACGAAATTGAATGAAGCATTTGCAGCAGTGAGGGGTGTTCCATTGAGCAGAGCTCATATAACTTATGGTGGTTACTATGATCAGAGTGTTTGAGGCATTAATGAAACTTTTGGATGCTAAGATTGTGATTCTGTAAATTAAGTTACGGATTAGGGGGGCTTTTTTATTAGTAGCATTTTATAATTTGGGAGTTGAAAGCTTAAAAACTTTCTAAACTTAAATGTATTTTTAATCCCCTAATTTTAAGTTTTAGTTCCTTTATTTTAAAAATCAATTGGTTCTTAAATTTTATCTCTTTCAAAATTTTATTGATTTCCTCTATTTTTGTATATATATGTCACTCTTATTAATTATATGATATTGTTATAATAATTTCATATTAGATGAATATACATTGTAAGGAGATATCTTAGCAGTGTAATGTTATTAATAAGGATATCACGTATGTAAAAATGGAGGAGGACCAATGAAATTCCAAGTGAGATAATGAAATTCTGAGTAAAGTAAAATTTAGAATCAAAAGATTAAATTTTAAAATAGAAGGATTAAAATTTAAAAAACATAAAAATAAAGAGATCAAAAATATATTTAAGTCAAGTTTGTATGATAGTTGCCCCCAAATTATTTATAACGAAAAAAAATCTTACAACAAAGAAGTCAATGGTTCTTATTCTCAGCACTAAACATTTCTCTTTTTTAAAAAGAAAAAGAAAACATAACATTAAAGTGCTCATGAAAAGAAAAGCACACACGAGAGATAAGTTGAAGCATTCAAAGAGACATTAATCACTCTTAGAATGTGTTTGGATTATAGAATTTCTTTTCTTTTCTTTTTTAATTTATTTTAATTTTTTTATAGAAAAATTAAGATATATATTGATCACTCAAAAACAATACAAAATAAAGCGATCAATGATTTAGGCCTTCTAAACAATTAAGCAAACAAAAAACTAAGACATCATCAACTTGACAACATTTTGTCCCAGCTTTTGCTTGACCCAACATCTATACACAACTATATCAATAATGTTATTTATATTAATCTGCATTCCTATGTTTCCAACTCATAGACAACTTCAATAAAAACACATTTAAGCACATGAGCTTTATTGCTTTTGTCCTTGTGTTCCTTTATAATCCAAGTCAATTCATCAATCCACCCTTTTGGCTTATGTTGAATGTTAAGATACAAAAAGGATTTGGGACCATATATTTCCAGTTACGTTGCATTCAAAAAGGAGATGATGAAGTGTCTCTTGCTTGTCACAAAAACAAAAAATACCATTAGTGATCATTTCAGATCAGCAAAGTCTCTCCTTGGTAGTCAGTTTGTTGTGGCAAGCCATCCATAAGACAAAGATAGCCCTAGGCCTAACAACATTGTTGACCAGAAGCTTCCTCTAAGCCACATGTTGCTAGTTTTCAATAAGTTTGTAGTACACTTTCCCTGTGTGATAAGTTTGATCCTGATACAGTCGAGCCCACATTTGTTCATGTTCCAAAATAAACCTTTACTTCAAGATTGCCTTCATGATCCACGAGGCAGAATTCCTTACAGAAACTGTCATAACATCCTAATTTTTCAGGTAGTAGTAGTGTACCCACCTAATTCACAAACTATCCTTCTTATCACATAAGTTCCAAAATAGCTTTTAGGCAAGCTTGGTTCCATTCATAAATGAAGATGATATTTAATCCCCCTTGATTTTTAGGAGTGCAAACATCCTTCCAAGCTATGGGGGATTTCCTAGAGATGGTTTCACTACCACTCCAAAGAAATGATCTACACACAACATCAATACTTTTAATCACTTTCTTTGGGAGAGGGATGCATTTCATCCAATAGTTTGTTATGGAAAATAAAACACTCTTTATCAGTTGGACTTTGTATGCCAGGCTCAGTAACTTAGCACTCCAATGCTTAACTCTGACAACTAACTTATAAACTAAAATCAAGCATTGGTTTACAGTCAATTTCTTACTAGTTAAGGGAATGCCTAAGTACCTGGATGGACGAGGGCCTTCAGTGAAGCTGGTTATGTTCTAGATCTCTTGCTTGGTTTTACATCAATATTACCATAATAAAATCTTCATTTAGCTGGATTGACAGTGAGGCCAATGGACTTAGAGAATTCCTCAAAAGCTCCCATAACCAATTTTATAGACTTAGTGCCATCTCTTATGAACAAGAGTAAGTCATCATCAAAGATAATATTGATTATGCTAAGTTTTTCACATTTTGAGTGAAAGTTAAAATCTAGAATGGCTTGAAGCTTATGCATGATCCTGTAGAGGTATTCCATGATGATGATAAAGAGGAGGGGAGATAGTGGATCCCTAGCCTTAACCCTCTCCTTGCCCTCAAACATTGAGTGTGATCATCATTAATTCTAAATTTATAGGATACTGTAGTAATTGTTATCATGATCTAGTGTATGAATTTGTTTGGGAAATTGAGCTCCTTCAAAATATTCTCTAGAGGACTCAACTCTCTTGTATCATAGACTTTTTGGAGATTCATTTGGAGCATGCATCTAGGGACACCACCTTTAGTGGAATAGCCCTTGATAAGCTCATAAGCCAACAACATATGGTCTTAAATATGTTGATCTGGAACAAATGATGCCTGGCTTTTGTGAATGATATTGCTTAAGACTTTTCCTAACCTAGCTGTCATGATTTTAGATATGATCTTGTAAATTGTAGAACAACAAGATATAGGTATAAACTTTTTTATATTGTAGGCTCCATCAACTTTGGGAATTAAATTCACAAGAGTGCTATTAATAGATATGTATATTTGGTCCTTATTAAAGAACTTCTGGATTGCATTAATAACATGAACTTTAGTGGTGTCCTAAGTTGCATTGAAGAACATGGAACCACAACCATCAACCCCTGGTGCAGTAAGATCACTAATACCATTTTGGGTTTTTGAATTTCCTCCATAGTAACTTGAGATATAAGGTTATCCCTCTGCTCTATGGATAGTTGACTGCCTTTCCTCGTGGTAGCAATGTCAATGCCCTGAAAGCTACTAGTTGAGGTTCCTAGGAGGTTGCCATAAAATCTTAATATTTCATCTTCAATCTCTTCTTTAGAATTCAATATTTGGCCATTTCTAGAGTGGGGAACCTTAATTTGGGCCTGATTATGTTTGGTTTTCAAAGAGACAACTCCAAATCCTTCACAGTTTACACAAAGATTCTAATTCATTATTTGCCTCGGCAAGAGCAACCTTAATTAAGGATAACTCTGACCGAACAAAATTTAGGGCTTCACCTTTCTCCTTTATATCTTGCACAAGTTATTACACCCTCATATCCAATAAGTGAGGCTATCCATAAGTCTGCACTTCGGTCCCTATCTCTCTTAGAAAACCAATAGTCCTAGTGATCTCCTCCAGATATCGGTCTCACTCAATAGTAAGATGACATACGCATTCTTGAAGCACTTCTATTTCCTTCTGAAGATGGACATGCAAGAAAACATCCACCCTTCCGACAGTACCAAAGGCCAAAATAGTCAACGCCCAATGGGTTTGGTATGCCTTCTCAACCAACTCCTCTTGACAAAAACCCTCGATTTTTCATGAAAAATATGTGTAATCCTCCTCAAAAAAGAAGTCTAAAAATCTACACCCTTCTGCAAACCAAGATGGGCAAAAAATAAAGGTGGTAATGTACTCTTGGTCGATGTTGAGCACAAACCAGAGTCAGATCTCCCTAAGTTTTAATCAGATGTCTAAAGTCTTCTAAAAGATTACCTCCTCTCATAGAGGACTCCAGAAACATGCCCGATGAAAAGACTTCTTTTGGTTTCAAGCAGTAAATAGCGTAGAGAACCCTCTGCCATGACTCGGTTTGGAGAAACCTGGACTTCCACTTGGACAGGTACAAGAAGGTTAACTGCGGCCAAACCCATAAAGGAACCTATATGCATGATTCCTCCAATAGCCTATCTAACATCAGAAATTATAGGCAAGGGGAAAATCTTATTCGCCATCCTCATCTGAAGCATCCTGGTATAACATTTCATCTTATTTTCAAAGTAGAGAATAACTAAGAAAAGACAATAATAATCATCTAAGCAGTGCCAAAGAAAAGAGAAAATCTCCTACATTACTCACCAAAGATGACATGCATATCCTCCTTTAAAGTAGCTTCGACTAACAAATGTATCTCTATGAACTATTTCTTTTATTTCCTCGGCGTCGCCCTTAAAGGGGTGACATTGTCAACATGGCCAAAATCTCCAAATAAGGCTATCAATTTCCTCTTCATATAAGTTTCTTTTTTGGGCAGGTCATCCAATTTATAGACATAAGACCCAACGTCCACCAAAACATGGAAAGTTTGTTAGAACATTGATAAGGTGGCTAGAAATCTATGTTGGAGAAATTAACATGAGCCACCTTGGTAAGTGGGCTAACGAGAGTCATCCAATTTATAGACATAAGACCCAACGTCCACCAAAACATGGAAAGTTTGTTAGAACATTGATAAGGTGGCTAGAAATCTATGTTGGAGAAATTAACATGAGCCACCTTGGTAAGTGGGCTAACGAGATAGTACCCATCCTTGAAATTTTTTATGCTCTCCTAATAAACTTTAAACATATCCGTACTCTTCCTAAGGGAGATTAGACCTTGACCACAAGCTAAATTACAAGAACCAGAACTCCGTTGGACTTTAAAGAGATGGAATAAAAACGTTATAGATGGAACACCTTTCTTGTATTTTCACCAGTACTAGAAGACTTTGATATAATCCTAGCTTATCGGGTGTAGTTGTGGCAGAGTGATTACTAGATAGTTTAGAACGTTCACTTCAAAGTCATTAAATGGGGGATGGAAACCTATCAAATAAAACAATCATTCGTGGAAAGGAATGACACACCCATCATACTTGATACATATCTTCTTATCCCATTTAAGAGGAAGCACTACCCAATCTGAGGATGAACCCATTTTAGTAAAGACGTGATATAGGCCGCCCTCACAAATGAAGGCGGAAACAATGTCAAGTGTATCTTGACCCACCCATGTAGAAGAGTTGTCTCTTACCACATTTCAGCCTCTAAGTTGGGAGTTG